CTGTTAGCTCAGCAGAATACATACTGTGAAGAAACCAGAGAGGGTTATTTGATTGTGCTTTCTGGAAAACAATAAATTTTTACATTTACGCACTCCTGCAATAGTCACACTTTAGTGTTTGTACTTCTTTATGTTGGTGTAGCTTTTCAGTCATCCAGGACAAGTCAACTCTATTAATGATGATTTATGGCCTTAAAATGCAACAATATCTTTTATRATAACTGAAAGAAACTGTTCAGTTAAAACATTCATTAAGTTTTTATATTGTTCATAAATGAAAGCCCAATATTACRTTTTTATGTTGCCACATTTCCCCACCTTGTTTGGTTGGTTTTGCCATATTAAAAAGCAGCAGCTCTAAACTGAAAACTGAACTTGTCTCAGAGGTGTTTTATCCAACACAGAAATGCATTTTTCCCCCTAACAGCTCCACTTTTATCAGCACATTTTCCTCTGATACTGCAGACTGATCGTTTCATGTAATCTCAGTATAACACAACCAGTTAGCATTCTAATCATCTGTCTGTGTCGTGTGTGAGTGAGAATCCTCTTTTAGTAGTGTACCTGATGTTAGCGAGAAGGGCAGGGGAGGGAGTGTTTCAGCGGATATGTTGAATGTAAAGCACAAGAGCAGCCACATTCACATTCCCACACTTTGAACTTCGAATGAATAAATTTGAAGTTTGTTACTAGCCAGCTTCTTCAAATTTTCTCATCTTTAGCTTTGGTTTGGTTAATTGTGTCGTTAATTAAGGAGTAATCCTTGTCAAATACTGTGGAGGATGTGAAAAGACCAATATTTGCATGGAGGCTTCTTAAAACAACAACTGTGGTTTGGGGGGCTAGATTTAAGCAATTAGTCATGCCAGCTGTTGGCAAAACCTAATACATTCMACATAAAGGTCCAGAGTARGAACGGAGCTTATAAATCTGCATAACATGCATTAATTATTAGACACATTATTGGCGTGCTATTCTACATGATCAAAGGCTGCCACAAAGAGCCATTATTGTTGTTTTTATCAGTGTAAAACACTGAACGTATTCCATAAATACTGCTAATACTGTGTATTTATGTGTGTATGTGCCTTTTTCCTGCCTCGCTGTAATACAGATTGCCATTTTGATCACAAACGGACGTTCAGATGACCAGGTGGATCCTGCAGCCCGAGCAGTCGCGGACAATGGAATTACACTCTTTGCCGTCGGTGAGTTCGGATGCCGATTTTGTGAATTCTTTCAACATTTCCACTGCAGCAGCTCCTCTGATTTTATCTGAGCTCTGCCTGCTTATCTGCAGTGTTTGCAGTTAGAAACTCGTATCCTGTACATTTGAATTTATTGATTCGGTGTGTGGTTCTGTGTGCGAGTGTAAGGTTCTTGTTTGGGTGAGAGCATGCACGCAGGTGTATGCATTTGCAAACAATATGTGCAAGAGAAATTGATTGATTCAGCTCTTGTAGTTCATTGGTAAAGGTGCACTTTCCAATACTGTTGCATCAGCTTTTTCCCTCCTACTGCTTGGTTATGAGTTTTTGCTTGCACACCTCTCCCCACTTTTCTCCTCCACACAATCATAAGCACACGAGCTGACAACTTATGTTTCCCAGGCAGCAGCCGTTGCAATAATTACTGCTCATTAGCTGATGGTGTGCTAATTGCAGCTATTTTTCATTAGCTGTTTCATTGTGCCCCATCTGCACCTCTGACTCTGAGACCCTCTGCTCTCTTCCATCATTGCTGTAGAAAGACTCCGTGCAACCTGTCTACTAGTGTCAAACCACTTTACCTGTAGAGCAGGTRGAACAATGACACTACAGATGTGTTCTGTACATGCAGCCTGTAAAGAAATACAGTTTTGTCCAGTCACCTCTGTTTTTATATTGTGTCAAGTTTYAACCCTTTATGTTGAGTTGAGTCTATTTCTAAAATACTTCAAGTTTTCTTGTTTCAAAAAATAAGAAAAGTTTTACATTAAAATTCACTTTATCATGAAACTAACAAACATGACATAAACTGAAATATATGCAATAAAGTGTCACTTGAACATTATGTTTGACTTGAATACTTCCCAAGTTTGAAAGTCTTACAGTTTGAATTGGATCATTCATGGTGCACTAGCGCCCCCTGGTGGTTCAGATGCTGTACACATTTACTGTCAAACTACTGAGATTTTGTCTGTTCTTATTCCACAGAAACAAAAAAAACTTTTTTTTTGCATCTTAATTTTGCAAATATCAAATTATTTATTTATTTTTCTTATTTATTCAGGTGTTAGGGGAGCTGATGAGTCCGAGCTGAGAAGGGTTGTGGCAGAGCCCCACGAGGAGCATCTGCTGCCATGCGCTGACTTCTCTCTCCTGGACACCGTCCTTCCCAAACTGTCCCGAAGATTGTGTGTCAGTGCCTCTGAACCACCACGTCCTGTGAAAACCTACAAGCCCAGTGAGKTTTTTTGCATTATGCCAAAATGTCCTTTAAAATTCTGCCTTCAGTCTGCATGAACTATGATATAAAAAAATGCTTGTTTTTCCAACGTTCTCAACCCTACAACGTTCTCATTTGCACATTTTATYTTGCATATTTTCTTATCTCTGCTCCTCTTCTCATCTTTYCTGTRTTTGTACCAAATCTTTAGCTGAAGAGCCTGTGGTGGGTCCCAGAGACATGCAGGTGAGTGAACTGGCCCACAGCTCCCTCAGGCTCACGTGGAGCCAAGCCACAGGAGACGTCACYGGATATCGCCTCCTGGTCACACCCCTTAGCTCCAAGGGGCACCTCCTTTCTGCGCAGCAGAAGCAGGTGAGGACAGCTGTAGTGTTCAACTGCAGAATAAAGTGTGTTTATGCACTTCAGCTTCAGGTCCAATCAGGGTGGAGCTGGACCCTTTTTTTTTTTGCAAGGAGTGGCACAGAGGTAGCCAGGATGTTTTTTTAGGTGGGGGAAATCCAAATGAAGAAAAGCACCACAGCTAATTCCAAATAGCTGTAATTCAGCTGTTTTAAGAAATACTGAGCTGAAAATGTGTCTGATCATTACAAAGAACTATTTAAATATCACACAGAATGCTAGTCACAACTTATTGTTGAGCTATTTTTACGTGACATACAAAGCTGAAGATTTGTGCAGAAGGAGCCARAAACAATTTTTACCTAATTCTAAATGCTTACCAAAAATTCAACATGGAAATTTGTTGTAGAGCTAAGAATCATATCATGCTGATTGCCATTGTTRMTCCCTGATTAAGCTAACTTCTAATRCAAATGCTAATTCTACAAAGGGTTATTGTTCAGCCATTTTTAAAGACACAGTTGAAAAATGTATCCAGTACAGTAGGGTCAGAGAACAACATTTAACAAAATCTAAATTCAAACACAAAATCTAAGWTCCCCACCCACTTGTCAACTATTTGGGGGTGGCACCTGGGGTGGCCGAACAAGCACCACGTGCTATCCCAGCCACCCCTCTAGCTCCACCCCTGGGTCTGATCTCAGATGGGACTTTYAATGCAGCTAAGAAAAAAAGGAGTTCGCATCACAACTCATAAGTGAAAAATAATTTGTATGTATTTCAAATATATTTTATTTTTTTAGGACTGAATTAGAAGTATAGTAAAACGGAATTAAACTATTTGTAAATATATGTCAAGGATACTGGTGCTGCTGTTTGAAAGTATTTGTAATGTTTTTTAAAATACACTTTTGGTGGGAGGGTAGTATGGCAGCCCCGCCTCTGTCAGTGTGCCCAGGGGCAGTTGTGGATACAATGTAGCTTAACATAATCAWTGTGTGAATGGGTGAGTGACTGTGCATGTAAAGTGCTTTGGGGTCCGAAGGGACTTGATAAATGGCTATATAAGTTCAGTGTATTTGCCATTTACCATATATACAATGAATATATTGCTATTTAACAACATATAGTTATAGCATTTTGAAATGGGTGTAAAAGAATGCTATTACTTGAAAATAAATTACATTTCTTGTTTAAATCTGACATTTGAATCTTTCTTACATACATTTTACATTTAATAACATGCAAAATACAAGTAAAATACACTTTAGTTTACTAATGAATTATTTAAAAAATGCAGATATATATTTAAATGTGTTTCAGTATACTTACAATTGTTTCTTTCCACAATTTATGTACAACTAAAATACACTTAGTACAAAACTAGGATAACTAGATTAAAATAGCATACTTTAAGTAAATAACCATAAACACATCTGAAGTTTATAAGTAATAAGCTTTTCTGCAAGTACACTCAAATAATGTTTAGATTTAGTACACATTTTTTAACCTGGGTTGTTTTCCACTATAGATAAACTCTTTACTCAAATCCTTTCAAGTAAAAACAAGTTTTCAACTTGTAGAAATAAGGATTGTATTACTTAGTTTGAGCAGAAGGACTGACTTCCCACTGTAGCTGCTCCCCTCCATAACATGACTTGTCATATTGACCACACAATTTTCTATTACTGTCCTCTCAGCCCAGAACTCATAACAGCAGATCAACAACCCTGTGCTGAAGAGAAAAGTAGTGACTCATCCCTGCTGCAGCCTCAGATAGTTCCAGTCAACTTTCTGAGGTTCCTAACACTGTACTGATTAAATCAACATGAAATATGGTGCTGGAAATATGCTATCATTTTTGTTTAGATGTGCTGCAAGAGCTTTTTTTCTGCCACTGCAGGAATGGATTCTAAAAGAGAACATTGAAGTTAAAAATTGTCTTAAAATTCTCAGTTTTTCTCCTGCAGAGTTAATAAAAAAAGATTTCTTTGGTTTAAATAATTTAGTTCCAGATCAATAATGTGTATGTTTACAGTTTATCTCTGGACATCAAACTGGATTTCTTTCTTCTTCACAGGCTGCATCCCTCTTCTGATCACTCTCCCTCACAGTTTTTTGCTTTTTCTGTTTCACAAAGGCACATTTTTAGTTGCCCCCCCCCCTTCATTTCTGATCTGTTTTTCTGTAACAGCTGGACTTGAAGGCAGATGTGAGCACAGCCATGGTGACAGAGCTGAGTCCTAAGACAGATTATTCCCTCACTCTCTATGCCATTTACCCAAACCTCATTGGGAACTCTGCAACAATCACAGTGAAGACAAGTGGGTGTCTCCCTCCACCCCAAAGAAATTACATTTCAGTTTTGGTATTTTGATTTTCCTGATCAGCAAGTTTGTTTTTCTTCGCAGCTCCTCTACCTAAAGTGTCAAATTTCCGAGTGATTGAGGAGGGTCTGTTCTCTTTGCGTCTTGGCTGGACCTCTCCTGTGGGGAAAGTCATTGGAGTCAAGCTCTTCATCCCTAGAAGTAAGTTGACYTTCATCATCATYATCATCGTTTGTCTTATCGCAAATGTATCTAGAGTCACATTTTGTCAGTTTAGCTTAAAAATAATTTGCTTGTGTAACAATATTTATCCAAGATTTGTTTTTCTTGTGATTGTGACTCTGGATTTATAATTTGCTCTGCAGCCAACAGACCAGGATTTACATAYGATCAGCTGCTTCCTGGAGACATCTCATCCCATGTGATCGACAGCCTGGAGGAGGATATGAAGTACACCATCAGTATTTAYGCCATTTATCCCCAAGGACCAAGTGAACCGGTTTCATTAGTGGCCAAGACATGTACGTTTAATGAACTTAAATGATGGAACATATCTATTAAATGTGCATTAATTGCAGGAAAACGTCATTATGGATTGTATAACACAGTTGAGGCAAACATCAGTATGTAGTAACACTATATTTCCACAGTAAGGGGATGTTGTTCTTAAAAAAAAAAACCTGCCACTAAGCATTAAGTATACCACATTCATTAAGTCTGTGTCATTGTAAGCTAAAAGAATACCAGCTTAGTGTTTATTTTGATTTATTAAGGCACATTTAGGAAACTATGTAGGGTTTACTTTAAGTTATAAGTGAAAATATAGAGTGTATGTTTTTGTATAAATCTTACGTTCCACCTTGTAATGTCTTTATTAGTAAAGTTAGTACCAGTTAAGCAGTTCCTGGTCCAGAATGCAACTACAGACACAGTCCAAGCAAGGTGGGCATCAGTCAGAGGGGCCACAGGATACCGCCTGACATGGGCATCCCCAGGTACCACGAGCAACTATTATACTATGCTTTTAAAGATTTTTTTATTTTAATCAACTTTKCTGGTGTTCTTTGTTGAAAAGATGTTTGTTATTTATTTCTTTTTTTTCCCCTTTTTGCTGTGCAGAAGGCCACATAGAGAACATCAACCTTGGTGACAATTTTAACTTCTACATGATCCAGGGCCTCCACCCTGGCTCGGAGTACATGGTCACAATCAACCCCATCTTTGGAGACATCGAGGGGCCAGTCACCTCCACCAAAATCAAGACACGTAAAAACAACAGTTCAAAAATAGACATTAAATATTATAGTTATCACTATATGTAAGCTATTTTATTTAGTAACTACCCTAATATATCTTATTCAATGCTGTGGTTCTTATAAGTCATTAGATTATCTGCTAGAGTTTAATTAAAGTTTTTTTCTGTGTTACCTTTTAATCACTGATCTAGTTTATGGGAATAAGAGTACAAGCAAATCTTCAAGTTTATGCAAATATTAACAATGTTCATTTTTTTATTTAAAAAAAGACCAGTTAGGAATTTATTTTCCTCTTCCTGCCAGTGGAAAGCAGTGCTGTTCAGACACTGAAGGTATCTGCTGTAAGCACCAGCACAGCGGTCGTCTCTTGGAACAGCGTCCCAGGGGCSTCAGGGTACAGGCTGGCATGGGGCCCCACTCCAGGTGATGTGCGCTCTAATTTTCTCTCTCTTAAAACTTTTTTACTGTATAACTTTACCTTGTGATAATGTCGTCACAGTGCAGTGACTCACTGCATATTTATATTTGTATTTCCATATTTCCTCAAACAACCTCATTATTCTTAGAAAAGTAAAACAAACGACTGAGTAATTATGAGTTCCTTTTCTTTGAAAGCGACCCTGGCGTGGGGTTTTGAAAGTCCAATACTTCCATATGTAAACCTCAACTTGCCAGCAGCTCATGGTGAAASGCAAACACTGATTAAAAAGAAGGACATCTGTGTTTGCCAAGCAGCAGCCTCTGATGTCAAGTGGGAGAGCAGAAAGTCACCGGGGAATGCAGTATTCAAAGTGAAATTATATGATTGTAAAATGCGTGTTGTTTTCAGAGTTTACTGGTCGAGACMGACCCAGACAGTTGGCTCTGAACGGCAGCACCACAGAGTACCAGCTGAAGAACGTAGCCCATGATACAGAGTATGTTCTGACTCTGTATGTGCTGTTTGGCTCTGTGGTCGGGCCTGGTATCTCTGCTACCTTTAGAACCTGTAAGTAGTTTTATTTTTGCACCTATTTTACTCTTCAGTTTCTACACTGTTGTAGAAATTATGGATACTCCTACATTTTAAGGGAAAATATTTTTCTGTTGTTGTGGCAACTACATTTTATTTAAAGGGGCTCGCATCAGGATAAAATGTCTTCCCTCATCAAAAACCTACTCAGAGTGTTGCTTTGACTCATTCATGCATGTTTGAGAAGTCCTTAGATCTCCTGTGGTAGCCATGTGGAGCTGYCTAAATGCTTGCTGGTACAAAGCTCTGCTTATTTGTAYCTAGCTCCTCCCTGGAGCTCAGTCTGCAGCTGAGCTTCCGCCMCTATGACRAAGCATTGTTTTAAAGAYRTGCTGAAGTGGGAGTGTCTGAAATGGTAGGAGGTTCTTAAAGAGACAGAGGCYAATTTCAAAGGAAACCCTCGACTTTAAGGCTGTGATCAAGTCATGCTGTTCACATCACTAAAGCTAGATATTTGATCATCAAATGTTCCAACCCTGATGAACTGTCAGCATGAACAAAATAACAYTTTAAAAGAGTCGAATGTAGGGAATGATATGAACTTTGTATCTCCAGAAAGCCRTCTTTCTCACACATTTTATATTTTAAACTACAGGAGAAAAAACATCCAACAAAGGCTAAATATTTCATTTCTTTTAACTTTCTCAGCTCCTTTAGGTTATGTGTCAAACTTTAAGGTGTCGTCCTATATGAGTACTTCTATAGATGTGGAGTGGAGTCCCATYGTTGGAGCCACTGAGTACAAACTTTCTTGGAACACAGGTGATTTATTTAACCATACCACTTTCAGCTGCTTTATGATGAACCATTACAATATGTGTGAGTGTATCTTAATGTGCTTTGCCAAACTTTCCTTTCTTTAAAGCTTTGTATTTATATTTTATTGTCTGTCGTGCTTGCAGATAATAGTGCACCTCAGTTCCAGTATCTGGACCACTCTGTCCTGTCCCACCAGATTACAGACCTGAATCCACAGTCCGTTTACACCATCACCATTCGTGCAGTGTACGGCAACTCGGAGGGACCAGAAATCTCCTTGTCTCAGCTCACAGGTACAGAAAGAAAAGTGATTTATCACTTTGTTTCTGTGCAGMTGTTTAATTTAAATGAGCTGAAGCAGAAAATATCTTTAAAAGACACTTTTGGTGTCTTTGTTTGACACATTGACGTTTTGACCTCCCGGTTTTATTCAGCTGCTGTTTCTGTCACTTCGACTATGTGTCACTGAGTCCGAATCAGTGAGGTTGCTTTCATTTTTATTAGTGTCATTGTCAAAGTATGTGTTTCACCAAACTCCAAGTGTAGAAAGAGAGGGCATGTGAATTAATCTAACCTAATCAGCTTCAAAGTACTTTGAACCTTGGACAATTGGCTGAAAATTAGATGGAAACTTTAACATCTTATGTGACTGCGTGTTTTTTTTTTTCTTCCTCAGCTGCAGTCTCAGACTCTGAGCCAATCCAGGCTGTGAAGGAGGTGAAAGTTGTGGACATTGGAGTAAATTCCTTCACCTTGTCTTGGAGAAAAACACCAGGGATTTCAGGGTACAAAATATCTTGGGTCCCCTTCCTCGGTAAGAGACTAAATAAAAAATAATTTATGTTACAATCTAAAAGTCCTGAGTCGTCATTTGTTCATAACTCGCTTCTAGGGAAGGAAGCTTTTTTGTTTTTTTCAGCTTGTTCTTAATTATTTTTTCTAAGTTTTTTGAAGCTCCAAGAGTATAACTGATAAATATGCACCTTATTTTGTAAAATGAAACTCAATGGTTGCCAAGCTTTTATTGCATATAGCTTCACTTTAACAAAACTATTTCACGGAAATTGCATTAAATTTGAATTATTTAGTGAGGTTATTACCAGTTCTTGGATAGTCTCCTTTCAATTAAAACAGCCTATTGCTACCATTTTGAATGCAGATTCATTTAAAAATTCACAATTTAGTCTCACGCAGCCCATCAGTCTCAAGTTTGAACAGTGTAAGTGTTCACAGCAGTGTCGTTTTTCAGTCTCATCACCTCTACACGCTGAATCTAATTACTTTCTGCACCAGGAGGTAATGAGAAGTCCCAAGTGGTGTCTGCAGCTTCCACCACCTTCACCATCAACAACCTGCRGGAGAGCTCAGCATACAAGATCCAGGTTTCCCCACTAGTGGGGAGGAGGGAGGGAAGCCCTGTTCTGGTTACGGCACGAACCTGTGAGTCATTCCAAAAATATATAAACTCCTCTTGATCACTGGTTTCTAAACTTTTGTTTTTAACACAMAAAACTAGTTCTCATGTACAGTGATGACCTGGCCAAGAGGCAGCATTACAAGTAGATATAAAACAGCACTGATGAAAGCATAAAAACACAAAACAAASAGCACTATTCAACATTTTTACAACATACTGTATTACAGCAGTGGGAACAATAAAACCAATAAAAAACAGTGAGAAGCATTGTAAAAAGCTGTTTTAAAGCAAGTGTAGTGAACTTGTATAAGTGATTGTAGTGATTAATATCAGTCAGATSCTTTATTTCTATTCTTCCTGTCACCCTGAGTCAAACACAACTGTACACATATTTTACTCTTTGCRGTCTCTGTCTACTAACCTGTGTACATACATCTGCAGTGTATTGTTGAAATTTTTAATTTTAAAGAACCCCCTGTGTCCATACTGGTTTGAAATGAATATTTCATCTTCTACTAAGATGTTACCCTATTTAAAATATAGAGTATATTAAAAAACACAACTTAAGTATCAAGTAAATATTGACCTTTGGCTTATTTTATTTATTCATTATTATTTATTGTTATCCATGTGTGTGTGTGTTTCAGTGGATCTCCCAAAAGTGGAGGGCTTTGCAGCTCTGAATACGACCGACAGCAGCACTGTTCTGAACTGGACCCGTGTTGCGGATGTTTCTGGTTATCTGCTGTCCTGGAGGCACATCTCAGGTCAGAGGCAAAACATAAACCCTTCATTCTGTGTCACATTACCATTTGTGTTACATTTTTTATGTGTTAATAAGAATTTATATAACTTTAGTCCATATTGTTGAAAGTGGATATGTAGCATGTAGATATTAGGGGTGCAACAATACATGTACCCGTATCGAACCGTATCGAACAGTACTGTATCGAACAATACAGATTTTAAAAATGTACTTTATCAACTTGTCTTCTGAAGATGCTCTGTGTTAAAGGATCAGTGGATCTGTGTTCGACTACTCCACCTAGGCTGCATTTTTGAGTGCAGATCCACTGAGAAACTTGCTGTTTCAGCAACATTTCATTTAAAAACTGTACTTTTGAGGTTAAACAAATGTTCATAATTAATATAAATAAATTACAATTTAAAAGGAGCATGAAAATTTCTCTTTTTTGTATCGAAAAAATATCGAACCGTGAGACTAAAGTATCGAACCGAACCGTGAATTTCCTGTATCGTTGCACCCCTAGTAGATACGTCTGTGCATTATGTAATATGTTACATTTCCCAATAAAATCTGAACATATATTTTATTTCAAATGTATTCTCAATAATTCATAACAATGGTTGTCAAAGAACAATGGTGTTTTAATTGCTTGGCTTTGTGACACATCACCATWTTATGACCCATTGTTTTAAAAATCACTAATTACGTCACAATTGTGTGTTGTTCTTAGTGTTGGAAACAAAAACCGAGACCCTGGGCCCTACCTTCTCCTCCTATAAGATCCATGATCTCCAGTATGGCAGAACATATATTTTCACCATCAGACCTTTGTATGGAGAGGTGGAGGGGCCCATCAGCACCATATATCAGAGGATATGTAAGACTTCTCATGTATACATTTYTGTTTTGCCACAGCAATAAATCATCTCAAACAGTAAAAATGCTGCTTAAATACTGATATTGTTTAAATAATCATAATGTTTATTTACTRATAAAACTGAGAGCTAATGCATGCTGAACCAATGTGTTTGCTAAGTACACCTAGTCAATCAGTTGTAGATGTGTTTTCTGAGTTTCATTAAAATCTGCACAGTTGTTCATGAGATATTTTGCTAACATGACTAACAAACACACATAAAGGGTTGAGCAATGAAATTCAAAACAAAACTGAAAGGAAGTGCCGAAGCTTTCAGCACCACGGACAGCTCTCATCACCATTTAGCCTCTGTCAAAACAGTTATGTGGTCTAATTAATGTTGTCAGCACGTTTATTCAAAGCAATACTGAAAAAGTAATTAACTTTTAATGTCAAATAGTATATAAATTATTTTTGTTATCACTGAGTTAAGCACATTTGCTCAGTTCGTTAGGTTCAAACCATAGCCTCTGGCCCTCTTCCCAATTTATTTAGTAATTTTGTGAAAGCATGTTTTAAACTACAGACATGGCTGCTTTATTAGCTCTACTTTCAGTACTTGCAATGTTTATATTCTAATCTTATTTTGTGTTTGTATGTTTCACAGTGGGACAAAGTGAGCCAGTAAAAATAGGCCAACCTGCGTCAGCTACAGTAACCCCAAACTCTTCCTACACGACTGGTCCACAGACCACCTCCACTGTCAGAACTACTGCTGCCCCACCTACCACCGCGACCACTGAGCCCCCCACTGCTGCCCCACCAACCAAACCTTTATCAACCAAGAAGCCTCCAGATCAGCCCAGTGTCACAAAACCCAAAGCAGCATTGATCAGCTCCCCGAAACTCACCACAGTTAGCACAAAGTCTACAACTGCACCTCAGCCAGGTAGGTTAGAAATTCTAGTTTTTGTAAAAAAAATGTTTTTAAATATCTAGTTTTGTAGTTATTATTTTATACACTTTTTCTGTTTCCTCAGTGTGTGGGAAAGCCAAATCAGACATAGTATTCTTGGTGGACGAGTCCTCGAGCATCGGCGTTAACAACTTTATCAAGATGAAAGACTTTATTTTTCGAGTGGCCACTTACTTCCCTGTTATCGGTCCACAGGGCACACAGGTCTCTTGCTCGCTGAAAATATTTTCTGTTCAACCTTAAATACAAACTTTCACCAGTTGAGCTGTACATGTACTTTTCCTAAATGKTTTTTTTTCTTCTTCTTAAATAATAATTTCTGTAAGTGTAGTGCAGGAGGGTTTGGTCTTTACAAATCAAAGCTCTACAAATATCAAACAGTTCTATTAACTTCTGTCAGCACACCTCAAATTAAACAGTATTCTRTGGTGATGTGCCTGCCTTTAATTTCCTTTCAGATATCTTTGGTTCGTTACAGTGACGAGCCTCGCATTGAATTCCGTCTAAGCGACTTCAAAGACAGAAACTCTGTGCTGCGGGCGATCAGGGGGCTGCGATACGGAGGGGGGAACACCAAAACAGGTTAGCTGTGCTCACTCAGATGTGAATTTCTCTGTTTGCCACCTGTCATCAGTCCACATTTAATTCAGTTAAAAGTGTTCAGGTCCTGCTGCTGATGTCAGTTTTTAGCAGCTGCTGTACTGATGTAGAAAAAAAATCCATCTACTCCCTGATCTGCTATTATCAGGTGTCAGATTTGATCTTTTTCTCTGTGTGTGAGCAGGAAAAGGGATCAGCTACGTTCTGCAGGAAGTCTTCCAGGAGTCTTTGGGGATGAGGCAGGATGTGGCCCATGTTCTGGTTCTGATCACTGATGGCAGGGCCCAGGATGATGTGATGCCACCCTCCAGAATCGCACGAGTTTTAGGTTAGTTTTATGAATAAAACTCTATCCATCGAGAAGTTGATCAGTTTCACTTAAAATTTTGGAAAAATAATGGAGATATTCACAGATTTATGTAGCGTTAATCATGGTTTTTGTTACTGTCAAGATTTACCCAGCATGACAAAGAAAAAAAACTTTTTGCTTCAGTCCATTTTTCTTATTTTGTTTAGTTAAAACCTAAAACAATAAAAATAATACATTTGCTTTTAAATATATATTAATTCTAATTTTGTCTTTGGAACTGAATTATCTATGTTAAATCTTGTGTTATGGGCTACATAATTATAGGGTTGGGCAGCACTAATTCAGGTCCCCTAATTCTAAAGCACTAATGCACTGAAAAAGTTAGCAAAAGTTAATGTTGATCAATAACATTTAAAAACCTAATTTAGTCCTTCTAAATCTAGCCCATACATTTAGCAAGTGCTAATCCACTAACGAATTTAAAAAACAGCAAAAGCCTTAAAGCACTGATAGGAAAATTTGTTCCCCTGTTAGTGCTTTAGTGCTTTAGGGGAAATGTGCCCACCACATACTACCTAAAAATCTGATTCTGTCTGTTTAGGGGTCAGTGTTTTAGCAGTTGGAGTTTCTAACGCCGATATAGAGGAGCTGAATAAAATCGCTGCTCCCACCAGCTACAAAAACATCTTCTACTCTCCAACCTTTGATGACTTCCCCTCCATAGAGAGGGAATTTATCAGCAGCATCTGTGGTGAGGAACTCCTGTCCGAGTTTAAACTACACGATGAGGTGAGAAAAAAATTATTGAAACTGTTTTAAATAAGTATTTATTCCTCATTGTTCATATACAATTATGACAAAGCCCATACCAGACATTTAAGACATATTTGAATGTGTTTTATTATAACTAAAGACTTTTATAATGTGTCTTTTTAAATSATTTTTATGTTCAGTTTGCTCAGTTAGACACTCCGACTGAAGACCCAGAGGAGCTAGATAAGCCTCAGGGTCCCTGTTCCTCACGGTGTGAGAAGGTTAGTGCAGAATTATAATCGCAGCGTGGTTAGTTCTGTATGAGCTTTTAATCATGTTAATCATGTGTTTTAACAGGGCCAGAAAGGAGCAAAGGTCAGCAAAGTGATCGAAAACATAATTTTTAGGTTCTTGTGTGGAAGCATTGTTATTGATTTTGTTCTTTTTTTTTTCAGGGAGATGGTTTTAGTCTTGGAGGTTTGGTATGTTTCTCTACTTACATTTTCTTGCTTTATTTTATAATTTCTTGAACTTTTTAAAGTTAACATTTACTTGTTTTTTTTTCCTGTAGAGATTTAAGCAAAGCCCTGGACAGTTTGATCCTTTCACAGCTTCCAAAGGAGAAAAAGGAGAGAGGGTAAAACTTAAATACTGTCATCCCTAGTTGACAATAAAATACTGTATTTAATTATCAAAGACAATGACTTGTGTATGTTGTGTGGCTGTCGAACAGTAGTCATGGCGTTGCATATGGTGAAACACATTTCAAACTGTTTAGAGAATATTAAATGAAGTTTATGTTACAASATTATTGAATTAATCTATAAAATAATCATGTTGTGTGTCAGCACATATTATGCAAACATTTAAGCATCCCAACTGAAAATACACAGTAAATACTTAATAAAAACTTCAGTTTTTATAATATCGTTGTTAACTGTTTCTTCGCCGGCTGTCTTTATTTGACAGGGACCCACTGGCACAGATGGCATCCCTGGGTTACCAGGGCGACCGGGACGAACTGGACCTCCAGGTTCTCCTGGCCAGCGGGTATCTAAACGCAAAATACATAAAAACTTCACAGTGACCTCATCCAGTCCTCAAAAGATGACTCTGTTTTTGAATTCCAGGGTTCTCCAGGCATTCCAGGCAACATGGTGAGCAAGTTTTCTATTATGTGTTTTGAATAGAATTGTAATGAATGTTATCCCTTCTTTTGATGGTTTAATATGCAATCTATGAATAAATGAGTTGCCATAGTTTATGTTTATGTGATATAATTTCTCCTGTTGATGGCAGGGTCATCCTGGACTTACTGGTCCAAAGGGACAGAGGGGAGAGAGAGTAAGTTAGGTTGAATATTTTTATTTCAGAACTGAACATCGTTGAATATTCATTTATTATTTGTGTACGCATGTTTGAGCATCGCTTTTGTTTTTGCGCAGGGAGAGCCAGGGTACGTTATCGCTGGCACGGATGCAAATTTYGTCCCGGGACGAAAAGGAGAACCTGGATCTTCTGTAAGTCTTCTGAAAAGCTTTTTTAAAGGTAAAGTTTACTTTACTTTGTGCAATTCAGACTTTATTTTCTGCATGTTACAGGGCCCACAGGGACCAGCAGGAGTATCAGGTGTCAATGGTGCTCCAGGCCTGCCTGGCCAGCCTGGACCACCAGGACCACCGGGAACATCTGTAAAAGTAAGTGAAAGTTTCCCATCACATTGTGTTTAATACACAGAGGTTTTGATGCAGCACACAGGCTAACAGAGCTGCTCTTCTTATTTCTGCTTTGTAGGGAGATCCTGGAGAGCCGGGAGCAAAAGTAAGTGTGAAATCTGCTTTCTTCAAATAATGACTTGCTGGTACGCCTGCTTCAATTTTTCTGTAACAAGATTCGTGCACAAAAAAGCCTATTTTTAAATCCACAGAATCAGCTATTTTGTTGCATAACATTTCTTTTCATGTGATCCCTCCTTCATTAAACTTTGAAAGGGTTTACGGGGGAAGCATGGCATGAAAGGAGACAAAGGAGATCCGGGGAAAGATGTAAGGACATAACTGTTATCAGTGGTTAAAAAAAAAACAATAAGCATATTGTGTTGCACAAAAACACTGTATTCAGGAGAAAAAAATGTTTTAGTTTTCTTTGGTTTCTTTTTTTCACTGTCAAACAAACTTTTCACTCATGCAAATTTCTGCAGGGTATTGCTGGTCTGCCTGGTCCCATTGGTATTGATGGGGTACCAGGATTACCAGGTCAGAAAGGACAGAAGGTAAAACTGTTACTAACTGTAACTTATTACATTTGAATGGTAAAAAAAAATTGCTTTGACTTGCTGCTTGAACATTTTCTTGCAGGGTGAAGAAGGCATTGGTATACAAGGTATTCAGGGACCTCTTGGAGAAAAGGGAGATAAGGTACATCAGTGACAAAACTGATCTGAGATTAGGTTCATTGTGGTTTAAATGTGTGAGTATTTTTTGTTGTTTTATTTCGTTCAGGGAAATATTGGTTTAATAGGAGCAATTGGCCAAAAGGTACCAGAAACTTCTTTKTAACCTAATAAATGTATTGTGGTTTAATGTAAAAGTAAACAAAAAAAAACTTTGAAGAGTAATAATTTTGATAAATTCTCTYTTAAGGGTGACCGTGGTGATCCGGGTATCCAGGGTATTGCTGGACCTCGGGTTAGTTCATCATTTTTATGTTCAGTTGAACTGATAGCAACGACTTCCTGCATGTTTTCCCCCTCAGTGCACATGGATTAGTTTTGGTTCTCAAAAATGAAACAAACTCCAAACCTCTTTCTTTTTTTTTCTTTTTACTGAGCATTTGTAAGATTCAGTGATGTGTGAAAAACATGATGGCAAAGTGATTCACTTTTACATGCAGGGTAAAAAGGGACTGAAAGGAGAGCAAGGGGACAAGGTGACTTCATCCCTCACACTCATATTCTTCCACCATGAAGCTGAAAACATGCTGGACTCACGTGATGTGTGGATGCACACAACCGTCACTTGTAAATATGAGTTTTCCTATTTTTATTAGGGAGAGAAGGGAGACATGGGACATTCTGGACCACAAGGACCTCAGGTGAGTGAAGACTACAACCTAGAAAACAGAGGGGGCAAACTCAGGGGGGCAAAGGGGGGCAAAATCCAAAACTTGGTTCAAGTCAAGTTTCAACCTCTGTCAATATTTATTCAAGAAATGTTATATAACAAATTATTCTTAAAGGAATACAAATTAGTTTTTCTAAATTATGTTTTATGTAGCATTTAGAACATGCATAACCAAAGAGATAAAACATGTTAGACACGTGTTAGCAATTATTTCTTCTTCTTCTTCTCTAAAAGCAACTTTTTCTTCCATTCATTATACTGTAGCTTAGAGATACAATTTATCTCAATCTAGTAATTCAGGTATAAAAAACTCCCCTATAATCCTACAATTTGACTTTAAATAAGAAGAAAATACAGCAAAATATAATTAAAGTTGATTCTCTGTTGCTCTTTCCGCACCAAAATCAAAGATTGCTGAAAAATTCACTTCATTTTCTTGGCTTAACGTTGGCCAGCTGTTATGACATGCATTTTCACATTTACAGAATTACCTTTGGGGCCGAATAAAATGTTTACGAGGGCCAGATCYGGCCCATGGACCTTGAGTTTAACACGTGCAAAAAAGAAACAAACTTGTTGTTGATATTAAAATGTACAGATTTCACTTAAGATGATTCAAACTTTCACCCACTGCTCCACCGTGCTGCTCAAAATGATTCTAAACACCTGCAACATACAACAAATGATCACAAAATCATTTCATTTTGCACTTTTAAACCATTTGACTCATGCTAGCAAATTAAAATCATCAGCTTGTTAAAAACTGACGCAAATGCTGCTTATCTGTCCGATGCTGGCTTTTAAAATGCAGAACAAGCACATGATTAGATCAGTGACTGTTCACTAATGAGACCAGGCAAACATTATGAGGAAGTAATTTTGTTCTGATGAATCAGGTTATCATARATGGTGAGTGATTACATACAGCTGAGGTGTCAAACCTCACTGAGTCTCCTTTTTTGCAAATAATTCATTTTTCCTGCTTCAGTGCTTTTTAATTTGGAAATATTAGCACAAGAATTGTTGTCTTGTGGACTAGCTCCCTGTTTTGATTTGATTTGATTTTTTATTTTATTTTAAGTCTTCATTTTGTCTTACGAAAAGATTATCCTTGAAGATAAAACTATTACAAAGAAAAATGCACAAAATTTAAGTTTTCAATGCTTGCAAACTAGAAAGTAAAAGCTTTTGGAAAGTAGCCTTGGAGTGAAGAATAACAGGAATGGAGTCTGAAAGTTCTAAAAGAAAAAGTAAATTTCCATATTTGCCTTGACTTTAAAGGGACAGACGGGACCGATGGGACTGAAAGGAGATGAAGGTCCAAGAGGAGTCCCTGGAGATCCTGCCAAGGGTGTAAGATAACAGCTTTATACTTTTAAACTTCATAAATAAAGTAATTCAGAACTCAGTACTCTGTCTTTCTGTTTCCACTCTGACAGATAATTGGTCCAACTGGAAAAAAAGGCGCCAGGGTAAGTTAACTTTTTAGTACTTACTGATTAGAAAACTCATTGAAAACACAAAGAGAAATATCTGATATGAAATTGAATATTTCAAATTTTAGGTTTCTAATGGTGTCCAAAAAATGTAAGCAAGTGAAGCAGCTTGCGTTATTGTTGCATTTATTTATTTGTCTTAACGAGCTGAAGGTACGTCAGTCAGCTCGGGGGAAGTGATGCTCTTGATGTTTCATTTCATGAAAACATTGTTAATTAATTGTTCAGGGTATTCCTGCATGCTCACACTCGGTCCTCTGGGTCCGCTCATCAAACACAATTAAGTTTTCTCTCATTAACTTTTTGCAGTTGGCTTCTGAATGCTTTGTTGATGGGGACCTCTTTAATCTCAGTCCACAGGGTATCATTTAGAGCAGAGAGAAGTTCGGCCCGTCGGCCAGACTCATGTTGACTGATGTGTGTGTTTGTGCTTCCTGTCTGTCAGGGAGATGTCGGTCCAGTTGGTTCCACAGGCCCTCAGGGAACAAAAGGAGACAGAGGAGATAAAGGAGAAAAGGTTCATGGAGAAAAATGATGTAATTTGGTCCATTTTACCTAAATAAAAACAGTAAACACATTTTAAACCAGATGGTTTTTGTCTGATTTGTGCAGGGAAGTCCTGGTTTTGGGATTCCAGGGCAGCCAGGACCAAAAGGAGAAAACGGTGAAAGGGTGAGTCATACTCTGTTTTTTTGTTGCAGTTTTACAGCATGAAACTACAGTTAAATATTTTATTTTTGTTATAATTCACAGGGAAATGTTGGTTTATCAGGAAAACCAGGTCCAAAAGTAAGTAAAACTCAGTTGTTGTAAAACAACAATTATACTTTTGACTACATCGCTGCTGGAACTTATATGTATTTATTTATTTTTTTACTTTTGAATATTTCTGCGCAAATTTGACCTAAAGCTTTAACAAACCCTAGCAGTTAAAACATATTTAATCAACTATTTATTGATCATAATGATCCTGCGTTACATTTTTGAGTTGTGAAATTAGCAGTTCCATTCATGTGGGTTTCATCAACAGCATAAATATAAGGTGCATATAGGGCTCTGATTTATTTAAGGGGTTTATCAAAGTCTGATCTTTAATTTGTAAAAAACAGATCATGAGAGAAATAAAGGAGATATTGTCGTCCTTGCTGCTCTTCAGAAGGTTATCTCTATTTAGATTATCTTTGAGGAGGATTTAATCTAAAAACAAGTGTTATACAGCACGACAGCACATCATATTTTTAAATGATAACTTTAAGAGTCAAAGTATTTCATTTAAATTATTAAATCACAAACTAAAGCGGGATTACATGTCCTTGAATCTGATGTCTAAACATGTCAACAATAATTGAGAATGTTTAGTTGCGATGAGTCATCACTTGACGTTTTCCTCTGCAGGGTTTCAGTTGCATTTTTCAGGAGGGGACTTTCCACTCAGACCATTTTAATCAAGCTCATTCACAGTCACAGCAAGCAGCTGTTTACAGCAGAAAAGTGTGCTAAAACTGACTGGATTCTGTGTACCCAGCATCCCTCAGCAGGCAGACAAAKTTAGTCATGAGTTGATGTATACAATCACGAACTCAGCAGTTTCACAAGCTAACATTTTCCTCTTGTGTTGATGAAAGTCAGATCAAGATAGAAACAAAGCTTCCTTTTAAGCAAAATTAAAATACATTTAAAAAATACACCCGTAACACAATTGTACTCACATTAGAAACCTTTTTTTAAGGGAAAAGATGGTGCAAAAGGTGAGACGGGGAGTACTGGTTTACCTGGCAAGCCCGGAGATCCAGGATTAAGAGGTAAAGATGTAAGTAAATCCTGAGTGGTTGTTAATGGCAATAAAAAATTGCTTTATAACATTGTAGGTGTTTGATAAGTGATTGTTCAAAAACAACCCTGATTCAGTCATAACTCCTGGGACAAAACCACACAAACAAGGTTATTCAGAGTGTTAAACAAATTATGTGCAAAAAAATGGTGGAATTCTATTAAAAATATTTCAAAGAGTTGTCAGATTTGCTCTTTTCARAAACTATAAATGTTTATATAAATGGCTGATTATCTATTCTGTAAACATAATTATTGTTAACTGTCTGTACAGGGAGGACCTGGAGCTAAGGGAGAACAGGGAATGAAGGTTTGTTTATTAATAATATAATAATGAGTTTAGAAATGCTGAACCTAAACTGTTGCTGTGATTTAATTATTTCATGTGGTCTTGTGCAGGGTGACGCAGGGCCAGCTGGAGAGCCTGGTGAAAGAGGAATAAGGGTATTTTATCAGCAGCCTTATGATGCAAATAAAACAACATATTTGTTATTTGATGCTAAAGATAACTTGAGGAGAAAAGCAATGAAACAGCAAGAACAAAGAGTTTTTCTATGGTTGGAACAAAACCGAACTTTGCGTTATAAGGATGAGACATTTACTTTGATAACTGTAAGAGATGTTTTTCTTGAAAACCCACTTTACTCTGGTGTCTTAATCTTTTGTTTTTGTGAGATTTAGCTTCAATTTTTTATTAGTTTGTGAGTTGTTCGCTCGGAATATGTTGCACAACAAATGCTCACAGCGCTTTTGAATATGAATACTAATTTATATTCTCTTTGATGTCCTATTCTTATTGTTGGATCAGGGTCCTCTGGGTTTACCAGGGAGGCCGGGGGACCCCGGAGATAAAGGTGACTCTGGGACATCTGGTCAGCCCGTAAGTTTTCTGACTCACTACTTTATGGGATTCATTGAGAATCTTTTTATGTTCATCTTAATTTTAATTGTTTATTTTTAACTTGTCATCTTTTGTCTGAAGGGTTCTGATGGAAGTAAAGGTGATAAAGGAGAGCCGGTATGTTTGATAAGCCTCCCTCCTCCTCCTCTCAGAGGTGCTGATAGTCTCTGATCACTCTTCTGTGTCAGTCACCCCCTTCACATCTTCACAGACCCCTATCCTCCTGTGACTTCATGATTTCTGTCTTGATATCTTACTAATTAACTTGGCTTTTTCTGGGGGGTTCACCCCTGAGTGAACGTGCTAATATCCTTTTGTGTTGTAAACAGAATTTTAGATTTTAACTGTGCTTTGTTTTCATTCCTTCCATCACGCTGGCATTGTCACAAAGGGGAAACCAGGACCTCCGGGAACACAAGTAAACAATTCTGATTTATTGTTTTACTCAGATTTCTTATGATGAAGCACGTCTACACAATGTTTTACAGCATTTATTGTGACCACGCTTAAGAAAAACAAAAGTTTGTTCTTCAAAAGTTTGATATTTCACTCTGTTTTTCATCAGATTGTTTCAGACAACAATATTCTCACCAGAGTGATTAAGGTAAGAAAAATACACAACAATATTTGACTTGTTCAGTTTTGTGAATGTATTACGATTTTTTTTATCTTTTCCTCTTCTACAGGGTGAACCAGGAGAGCCCGGTGAGCCTGGTTTCAAAGGGGAAACAGGTGTTCCTGGGCCAAGAGTGAGTAATCATCTCTGCATTTACATTCATCAGACAAGGCCAAACTCAGGCTCAACAGATTTCTTATAACACTGAAAAGTAATAAAGTGTCATATTCAGCAAAACTAAATCCTACCAATCATCCCCAGCCTCCAAGCTTTATATTATATTATTTATTTATACATTTTGCCTCATCCGATGGATTAATATTGGTTCTTGAAATTTAAATAAAACTGCACATTTTAGATGACAATAGCTCTTTTAGAGTTTAATTACAAAACTTTAAAAAGTTGAAGAAATGATATTTGACTTAATGCACATATCTCTTAGTTTTCAGCAGTTGTTCTTCTTTAATTGTAATTTTACTGTCTTTTCTAAGTTGACTTGTGGTGGGCTTTTTATATTCATTAAAAACAAATGAAGCTGATTTTATTCAATCATTATTTAATAAAATATGTAGGTTTTTCAATATGTTCATCATGGATGAAAAATAATTTCTGTTGGTCATCTTTCATTTGTTGCTTTCTTCCAGGGTCCTGAAGGRAAACCTGGATTACCAGGACCATCACAGGTATTATAATAAAAATCTTAACTCTTTACCATTATCCTTTTTTTTTAAATCAGTGAGTCCCAGTTTGTTCTGATTTGCAGGCTTTTATTTTGCAGGGTGGTTCAGGAAGAGACGGTTCTGATGGCGTACCAGGAAAACCAGGACTGAAGGTTGTCACTGAAACACAGTCACCTGAGTTATACAAACTCTGCATTGATCTGAGCATCACTGGTGTTTTTTAATCTTTTGTAGGGTGACAAGGGGCAGAAAGGAGAGGTTGGTTTGGTGAGTTCAGCTGAGTCAATTCGTTTATTTCTTTTAAACAGCAATGCAGGATAAAATGGGACAATTCATGGAGGGCAAACCTCTGAGAAATACCAGTAACAGAGTATCTGTAGGTCAAAAAATGTTTTAAATCTGTACACACATTAATGCAAATATTTTTAATGTAGTTTCTCAACTTTTTAACATTATGTAAATACTACAATATTGCATTTTAATGTTGTAAAAAAGATCAGAGTGTATTTTCATTCACTGTCTTTGTGTGCTGTGCATGTATTAAGAATTAGTGGCTCCATGTAGGATTTTAGTCCACCCCATTAATACTGCTGGCAACACAGACTCAACTATAAGCTATAGGAACTAAGATATTAATCCACTTTTAATGGAATATTTCTTTCATGGTTCTGATTTACTTGAATTTTTAAATTGAGCAATTATCCATCCATTTCTGCCTTTTATTCAAGTCCAGATTGTAATAATGTGATTTATTATATCATTAGGAACTGTTCTTAAAAGTGCAACACAAAGAAATAAATATGATCTAATGATACATAATTGTAGTTAATAATCTTACTGGTTTGACACAATACTTTAATAGTTTGGCTGGTATGACTATGATTTGGGAATTAAACTTAATTCAATCCAACACCATTATATGTACTGTTAGATTGGTTTAAACTGTTAAATCAAACTTGATGAATCAAGAAGTTGTGTAGAGAAAAAAAAAAAAACTTTCTCCTCATTTTACTTATCAAACTGACCTTAACAGGGTTCATATATGTTCTCATCAGTTTACACAATTTCCTGTACACTAAGAAAGTAAAAATAGATTCTTATAATTATAAATATATCTTTTTAAAGGTGTTACTTAATGCAGACTCTTATTAGATTTATTAAAATTAGATTAAACTTATTGAAAACAGATGCTCCATGCAGTTTTTTATACTTTTTGTTTTTACTTTTGCCAACAAAACAGGAACAGGGATGTCTGGACTAGACTGTCACAGTAAAATCTTTATATTTTGTCCATTTCCACCTGTTTTGTTTGAAGGCATCCATTTTGATTTGCAGTATAAATGTCAGTTTCTCCATTTTATGTCTCCATTATTTCCATCCATTGTTTTACTTCCACTGACTCCCGTTTCTGCCTGTTTTTTGTGACGACATCCTTCACATCACATCATTTTTAATCCATGCAGTTTTTAAGGCATGTTTGTCTGTTAAAGCTATAAAAGCTGATCATGGAGCTGCACACAAGCCCCCATCCTCATTATCAAACAAAAACAATTAATGACTAAGAAAATTGTGTGAAATCACTTTTATGACAGCTTGGTGACAGCATGGTTCTTTGGCAGAATGGATGAAACTTCTAAGAAATCTGTGTGAAACTTAATCTTTTCTAAAAACTCTTGATGCTGCTGTTTCTGTCACTGCTTTAAASTATTACTGAGAAACACAAGGTATTTGTTTTTGTGTACGAACAGAGAGGAGAAAAGGGAGATCAAGGTGGGATTGGGATTGCTGGAATGCCTGGTTTACCAGGAACACCGGTGAGTTTTTCACTGAACGCGTTTAGTTGACTGGACTCAAATGATCTTGAAAACAAAAGACAGCATTWTTCTGTCTGCAGGGGAGACCTGGTGTTGATGGGAAAAGAGGCCAGGCTGGAAAAGATGTGAGCTTAACAAAATAAGGTCATGTTTGGAGATTTTACACATATTTAAACATTTGTTTGTTTGTTTTTTTACAGGGAGAAAGTGGTCCTAAAGGAGATGATGGAAAAAAGGTTTTTTAAATGTTTCAAAACTGATTTTTTWAATTAAARATATMRTTTTGAAAACATGATTTAATTTTGCTCTTAATTGAAGGGGGATAAGGGGGAACCAGGTGCAAATGTAAGTAAATCTTAAAATGTTCAAAATTAAGCATATTCTGTAGCCTTGAAGCAACAAAGTCTTTTTTTAACAGGGWAAAGATGGAAGTAAGGGCGATCCAGGACCTCCAGGTTTGCCAGGGAGGCAGGTGCTCGTCACAACAGAGGTAAAAAACAAATAAATAAAACAAGCTTTAATTGTAGTGTGTTAATTAGGGACAACAGTTTGGTTTAAACTGATTTTTAGCTTTCTGCTTATTCAGGAAAAAACATCAAATATTTAAAACATCAAAATGTCTGTGTGGCATCAATATTTTGTGTGGATCTATTTTTAGGGCGCCACAGTTGATGAAATCCGACAAGCATTTCCAGTCCCAATGGGTCCTCCAGGGGCTACAGTTAGTTTACTATTTACTCATCATATTTCTGTGTACAACAGTTATTTATGCCTTATGACATTATTCATTTGTCTACATGAAAACTCATTTATCAGTGACAGCTTTAGTGGTTTTTAATGGTTGGGTTGGAGACAAACCATGRCAAGCATGATGTAGACTCATGTTAAAATGTGTTGTTGTTTTTGTTTGTTCATAGGGGTCACCAGGAATGAAGGTAAGATGGTTATTCTGTTTATATTGAAGCAGGGAAATAGAAATGGTCCTAACATTTCATTTGTCTTTCCTACAGGGTGATAGAGGAGAAACAGGGGAGAAGGTGAAGTTCTGCATCTTAAAAACATAGAAATGTGTCATTTTCACCAGATTTACTTACAGCTGTGTTTCTGCAGGGCGACGCTGGAGCTCCTGGAAAGTCTCTGGAGATGAAGGTCGAATCGCGATATTGTAATTCTTCTACGATGTGTGTTCTCATTTTGCATTCATAAATCTCTGCACGATGTATCTTGCGTCTATTTCAGGATATTGAAGCGATGTTTGAGGACTACGGCATACGGGTGAGCTCTCAGCGTTACCGTGTTTACATTCAGCTGATGGAATGTGCTGCAGTTTGGTAGCAGGAGAGTAATCTGAATTTGACCATCTAAATAAAACAGTTCTCTTCTCTCAGCTGCCTTTGCTGAAGGCTTTGATTGACAGATTGCTGCAGGATGGAATAGAGGAGCTGCTTCATGTGCTCAGCAACTCCAAGAAAATAAAAGAAAACACAGAAACCTCCAACGTCATCTCGGAGAACATGGTATGCTGTCTCCAGGGATGAATTTAGATTTTTCTGCCATCTTGTTACTCGTTCAAGCAAAGGAAAACGAATTATCCTACTTTTTTAAGACTCAGGGGCTTAAAGCGTCAGGGGTCTCTTTGTCCACAAATGTAATTCAGCTGAAGGTTAACATGTTTTGAAGGTCGACTCATTAAGAGATTACGTAGTTGCAAGTACTTTTTTCAGAATATGTAAGTACTAAAGAACCCAAAGATGCAAACATGCAAACTATCCAATGGTGCAAAACAATACAAATACCTGAAAACTGGCAGCTCAGAAACTAAACTAAAGCTGACCCCTGAAAGAATACAACTACAAACAGATCATCTGTGCATTTTGAAGTCTCCTGTTTTCTCCTTTAGTCTCAGCTCATAACAGCAGTGTGCTTTTTAAATGTTGCTGTTGTCTCGTAATATGTTTGTCCTTATTTTTTGTTTGTTTGTTTAACAGAGATCATTGAAATTTGACCTCAGCAGCCAGACACAGACAGAGTTGGACATCCAGCAACCCGACATAGATGAGCAGCTTCCTGAATCTTTGTCCCCTGTAAGTCATTTTTAATTATCATTTTTTAGATTTTGTTAAGGAAAGGCTCTAATCCTTTATACCCTTTTTAGTTAAATGCATTTTGTTGTGTACTTGGAGTCTCTAGGAGTGCAGAAGATTTGGATTTAGTTTTTCCCATGTTTGGGTYGTATTTTTTCTCTATGTTCTATGATGTTTTCTGAACTATTAGGTCAATTTATATGTGACAGAAATGCCAAACAAGGAATGAATCAACTACAGTTTAGTCAAAATGTTTTTTTTTGTTGTTGTTTTTTCCTGAAGGATCTTAATGAAACAGCAGAGGGTCCGGCCTTATGGACCACCAGTACACCAGATGATGAGCAGAAACTCAACCAGATTGAGACGAAGTTAAAGGGATCCAGAGGGACGGAGATCCAAGACTGGAACACGAATGAGTCTTCCCTCAATATAAGCCTGACTTTAATCAACTCTACTCTCAATTACACCACCATAAAGGAGGTGTGGATGTTAAAACATGTTTTCAGCACATTTCTGATATAGTTTGAAATTAATCTTTTTAGTTAATGCATCTCACTGCCTTGATTTTTTTGTCTTTATCTTGATGCACTGTCACAGCCTAATAACATTAAAATAWTTTTTTATAAACCACCCTTAAAAACAACTTTCCTAAATGACCTGATAATTACACAGTATGTTTGCCACACTGTAGCTTTTGGCACATATTGAAATAAAACCTAAATCAAAACTTTTAAAACCAAAAATCTTAGTGTCAGTCATGATATACAGGATGTTAACTATAATCTGTTTTTTAACCTAAAAAAATGCTAAAATGTGCACATTTGTGTTCAGACGGTTTCAGGCTTACCTGAAACTGTGGTGGAGACTGTTCTCCTCCGACAGGAAGACCCTCTGAAGAAGATCTCTGCGCCAAAGAAGAAGAACAGAGAGCGTGGGAAAGTAAAGCTGCTGAGACTTTCTCATACCGACAGGGTTTAAATAAACATACATACTGTCGGACCACAGCAGGGTTTCATGCTTTACCTCAGCTTTCCCTGCACACAAATGAAAAATGATCAATAAACTAAAATAATTAACTTTCAAAAACGTAGATTCAAATTCTGACATTTTGAGGCCTTATGCAACAAAGTTAAATTGTTGTAGAAGTAGACAAGCTGATTTTGTATTCAGATATTCAGGAGTTTGATATATAGTGGGAAAATCGAGCCTAAAAATGAACCAACTTTTTTCTTGATGCTTCTTGGACTTTGACACGAAACACAAAGGTGTTTGCAGTGATGGATGACTTGCCTCGAATGAGCCACAAAAAATATCTGGAGGTGGATTTTCATGTTTTAATTTTTAGTCACCATATGAATTAATGTGTTTGGAAATAATTTATGTGAATAATTAAAAACGTTCCAAGGCTCAAACCAGTGGGAAAGAATAAAATCAGCTGATTGAAACATGAGCTTCTGGTGTGGTCCTGAGGTAATAATACATGTAAATAATTATAAACTTACTTCTGACTTCCTCTAATTGTTACTTTTAATCAGTAACACTCATCAACTATCTTACTATCTGTTTAAAATTAAAATTTAATCAACACCTTTTGAAGCTTGAGAATTTAAATATCTTTCTTTGTTTTTAAATCTGACTGTTGACTTTTCAACCAGGGCAAAGGAAATAAAGGACGTCGTAAGAGGCAGAGGCAGCGCCTGGTAAATGTCTTTAATGGGATCAGACTAAACACTGGAAACTAAACTTCGTTTTTTAATCCGACTGAAAGAAATAGACTAACACTTTTAACCCTGTAAACCACAAATAAATAACCATAATAACCTAACTGTTAATAATCTTTCATAATAAGATCATTAAAAAGCTGAAGTACCCAGTTGTTGTACAGCTGATGAGGCTTATGTAACCAAATGCATGCATTTTTCCAAATGTCCATGTGCTTCTTATTTTTACAACAATTAGTTTCAGTCACACAAAAGAAAAAACGCCGCTGTTTGAGAATCCTTCTTTAATAATTTTCTTTTTTTTTTTTGTCCGTTTATCTTCAGATAAGTGAAGAGAGGAAACAAGAAGAAGAAGAGGAGGAGGTTTATGACGGTGAAGAATACTCTTATGAATACGAGGTAGGCAGCACTAAATTAGTAATTCAGGCACTGCTGGAAACTCTTTTAAATGTGATGTTGATGACGTAAAAAAAACCCATTTTTTTAATGTCTGCATGCTTGTCAACTCTTGAAACTCAAATCCGTCCGTGCCCACATGAATACTAAAAAGCGTTGATTAATGACACACCCACTAGCTGGATTTAATTATTAGGAAGAAATTAGTTTGCCATGACAGCTCACTGCGTATTATCTATGTGTGCATGTTTAAATATGAGTTTCCCTTTCTTTTTAAACAGGAAGAACTTCCCCCAAGTGAGCCGTCCTCTTCTCATGAGAGCACAGAGAACACAGAGGTAAAGGCTCTTCAAACAGAATGTTCTCATCTGCGTCAGCTGGACTGGGTATAAATGTTCTGATTCATTTTTAATGCAAGATATGCTTTTGTTGCAGCTTCAAGTCCAAACTAATGAATTCYCCAATAAGTTGCACAAGTGATAAACAAAAACTCTGTTACCTTTTTTTAAAAAAGGGGACTTTGACAATTAAACTTTGTTACATGCTCTGTTGTGTTTCAAATGYTATATAAGTATTAATGTGCTGTTAATGTGAACAGGAGGGACAGTTACCAACACACAAACCTGACCAGTTTGAAAGCTCCAGTCTTGTTCTTTCCTCAGACRCACAGGTAACTTACACATAATGCATGATGCATTTTATTTAGCTAATGTTGTATATGCATTTAAGAAAACTATATAAAAAAATGATGTTTTCTAACTTGATCCAAATGATACAAACTGATTGCATGGGTTTGATGCAGAAAAAGTCTATTTTCTGTCATTTAGAATTCTTTTTATCACCTATAATTGTACAAATTGTACACAATGTTTTCTTAAATTCGTCTTAAAAAGACTATTTTCCTCAGGTCCACAGGGACAGAGAAATAGCAATTTTTGACTGTTTAATCAAAAGAATTGTGTTTTTATCAGCCTTTTAATGGCTCTTATTACACTCGGTTCAGTTCACTTCATTCCAGCTCAGTGTTAACATGTTTACACATGGCACCATTATGTTACAGTTTATAAGAAACAGACTGAAAATCAAAACTCATTCAAATAATTGTCAAAAATTCACAACATAGAGTCCTTACTTTTAAAGACTGAACACAATGAACAGTAAAGACATATTTATGCACTAACTGAGAGAGTCTAACCCTGATTTCTACAGGTTATTGAACMCCTTTAAAGATATTTTGAACTGTATATGACGAGATATTTGTTTTTCTGCAAAATTCAGGATGTATTTAGTCTTTTTAAAATATATTTCCAACGCCCTTTTTTATTTTTGGTCCTTCTAGGTTATCCTGACAACCACAGCAGCAGCTTCTCAGTTCATGGATGATGTCACTGAGGTAAGGAGCTGGCTTTGTTGTTTTTCCCCCTCCACAGAGATAAGAGCTGAAGTTGTTTAAGTTGGCTTCTTGGCAACATTACAGGACAACCCAKCTACCATTTTTGATCACATTGGTGGTGAGATGAAATAAGAGCAAATTAAAAAAGCTATTACGTTTCTTTGTGAATTACTTTTACTAAAATTGCAAAATAGGAGCACGATAAATGGTGTGAACCCTTTTAGATGTAATTGCAAGTCTGTTTTTTACTCTGTGTAGTGCTTCACCTTTGAATTAATGCATTTATGGCTAAATTTGTCCTACTTTTACAACCAGGATCAGGTGACGCTGCCCACTCCTCCAACTGCCACAGAGGCACCAGAGAAGGTAGAGTTTGAAATTTTACAGATTTATCTCTTTTTACTTTTTTTGCATGACTTTGAATGCAAATATTTCACTCACACCTGAACAGAGGAAACGTTTAGGGACAAGGGGTTAAAGGGATTCATTTAGTGTGGATAAAAAAAATTGTAATTCCTAAAAATTTCACCAGTGCAAAATTGTGTTTTTATTCACAACCCTAACTACAGCATGAGCTAAATAGAACGGCACTTCTGAGCATGATTCCTCTTAAGCTTGTATGAAAAGTGAAGTGAAACAAAATTCTAACAAACAGTGCGACTTTTCACAAATTTACTAAAAAAACAACAACAAGAGAGTTACCTTTAATAYTTTGTCTCTCTTTCTTTAAACAGGGAAGCTCTTAATTGTCAAGAGACTGAGACTTTAGAGTCCTAATGATTCATGAGAAAGCACTGGAGAGTTTGATAAGCCGCRAACCGTTTCACTGACGAGGAACCCTGAACCTGACCGACATTTCACGAGAGGCAGCATCTTTCCACACAAAGCTATGACCACACAGGTGTTCCCTTCTTGACGAGGGTTCTTTTATTTTAGTGGCAGAAACTTCATGGTAAAATTGTGATTATTCTCGTTGTTCAGTGTAGACTTTTATTTCCTAACCTTGTGAACTTCTTATTTATTTATTCCAAGGAATTTAATGTAACTAACACCATTTTATAACCCTTTACTGAAGATTTTATCTATTTTTTTGTTACAATTTATGTAGAACTTTTATTTATTGAAGCTGTTTTTGTTTTACTTTTCTAAAAATTTTTTAAAAAAAATCATCAAATTCCAATGTTATTACCTGTTATTATGATCAGATGAGTGGATTGATCCAGCACTTTTTTCACTGGTGAAATTTTTCATTGTTGTTTCATGTCTGTGTTTAACCTCTGTGTGCATGTAAGTAAAAATGTTTAAATAACTTCCAAAGCAGCTCTGAGTCTTCTTTTTCACCTTTTTTTCTTGAATATGCACATTAACTCCAAACAACAGAACTGACTGCTGTGCTAAGCTTACTTATAAAGGTTTTGGGGGAACTTTACAGGTGTCGCCACTTCAAATCAGAGTGAAAAGAGGCTCATCTTGGCTTGACTCAATGGTAGGTTTCACTTGGTTTTACACAAGAGAGCTTAAGAACTGACACTTWTTAATAAATCAGCAATAACAATGGCTGACTTGTCAAATGTTATATTTTAGGTGTTTATGCCAGGTGCCCCAGGTGGAGGAAATCGGTTTAAAAAGACACAAAAAGTAATTCTATTTTGCAAGATATAGATTCACTTTAAAGATTTATCCTTGAAAAACAMAAAAAGGCAATTTCATGTTCACTGTGTAGCATGTGTGAGAATTTTCCACTTATTTCAATTTCAGAATTTGTCCTCTGGAGCTCGAGGTTCCAACCGCTGGAGTGTAAGTTTATGATCAACAAAACACCAGTAAACTTCTGAATATTTACTTACRAATACATCGGTTTGTGTCAATGATTTTTATGCAGCACACGCCGCACAAAATTCCCAACCTTGAAACTCACGAGAGGAAGTGGAATGAAAAAGAACGGCTGATATCTAGTGATGCTGAAACACAGGCTCAAACAGATGCACCTGCTGGAGGAGAGGAGCAGACTGACCAGGACTGGGAGATGGAAAAAGAGGATGAGGTGCCAGGTGGAATTTCAGAAACGGACCTCGATCCAGTTTATGAGGAGGAGGAGGAGAGGAGCGGAGACTATGACTGGGAGACTGAGGAAGATGTGGACCGTGAACGGGAAGGGGAGGAGGAAGASTTGGAGAGGAAGCGAGAGAGGGAAAGGTTGGAAATGGAGCGAGAACGAGTGGAGCTGGAGAAGGAGAAGGAAGTGGAGGTGGAGAAAGAACTGGAGATAGAGAACAAACAAACAGAAATGGAGGAAATCGTGGAGGAGGAGAGAGAGGGAGACTTTGAGAGGGAGGAATGGGAGAGGAGGAGGGAGGAAATGGAGAGGGGGAAAGAGGGGGGTTACAGTGAAGAGACTGCACAGCCATATCCATATCCTCCAGAGTATTTTTTTCTGAAGGTAAGGACACAAAATAATCCACTTTATCTTCATACTTCCTTCTCAGTTTCAGTACAAATGACATGAATAGATCAGCCAATCAAAATTATTTCTGCTCAAACTTTAACAAATCAAAACTGAGCCAGTTCTAAGCTGCATTTCATTCAGATGAAGCAGAAGGTCAGATAGCCAGGTTGGAGGCCTTTGCTGCCCAGTAAAAAAGAAAAATATAACTGAGCACTGTATTTTAAAAAAGGTTACTACATTTTGTGAGGCCTTTTTCTGCATCAAAGAATCATCCAGTGAAAGAGACTATACATAAGGCTTACCTTAAACTCTTAAATCCCAAGAGGTTTCTTTGAAGTTTGTGCTTGAAATGAAATACCCAAATGTAATTAATTGCATCATACAGTATATAATTTTAAAAAATATCGCGAATAAGGTAAAAAAAAACATAAACCAAACTGTAAAAATACGAGAGGGTTGGGACAACTGGAAAAAAAAAGAAAAAAAAAGAATTACAATTTTTTTTCAGTGGCCCTAATCCTCTTTTGTATAAAAAAAAGTAGAAAAAATGTTACATTTTACCCCCAGAATTGGGGGATGGGGCTTAATTAAAAACCTAYCAATCTGTCAAGAGTCTCATTTGATTTTATTATAAAACACCTGAAAAAAAAAA